CCATACTTGCAAGCGCACATCGTGCATGAGTTTCCCGACGTCCGGCGCCCGGGCCTGACCATTCCCGCGCGGTGTACGAGGTGTGCGGGGAACGGCCCGACCCTTCCCCCCCCCCCTCCTGAAAAAAAAAAAAAGGCAGGGGTCGAAACGGCACATCGGAGGCCCCCCGCCAAAATTGTTACGAAGGCCAAAAAAAAATTTTCGGACCGCGCTCAAGGCCGGACCGCCAGGTTTCGAATTTTTGAAACCTGTTTCCAGTTCTTTCTACTCTGTGTGGAGTTGGCTGGGCCTCTTGGGTAGGTGTGTGGTCGGTCACGACCATTCCTGCGAGGAGTGCCGTTGCCATTTCAAGGAGGAGCTGCCACCGTTCTCAAGTGCCGCCACCTGCTGCCGTGCTGCCGTGCTGCCGTGTGAGGGAGGAGCTGCCGCCATCGCTCGGTGAATATCACCGGCCTCGACCTCCCCTTCATCATCCTCTCTGCCTCCTCCTCCTCCTCCTCCTCTCCTCCCGCTCTTCCTACTCCTCCCCTTCCTCGTCCTCCATCTCTCCTCCTCGTCCTCCGTTCTCGTCGTCCTCCTCCTCCTCCTGCTCCTCCTCCTCCTCCTCTTCTCCCACAGGTGTCGAATTTGTCGAGGTTCTTTTTTTTTTGACCTTCTCTCGATTTGTGCGTATCATCCTTGCGCAGAGGTCGTGCTAATCTTCTCTGTATCGTTCCCATTCCTCCGTTCCATCTCCTCCTCCAGGTCGTCCTCCTCCCCCCCTCCTCCTCCTCCTCCTCCTCCTCCTCTCCTCCCGCTTGTCCTACTCCTCCCCTTCCTCATCCTCCATCTCTCCTCCTCGTCCTCCGTTCTCGTCGTCGTCCTCCTCCTCCTCCTCCTCCTCCTCCTCCTCCGCTTCTCCCACAGGTGTTGAATATGTCGAGTTCTTTTTTTTTTGACCTTTTCTCAATTTGTGCATATCATCCTTGCGCAGAGGTCGTGCTAATCCTCTCTGTATCGTTCCCATCCCTCCGTTTCGTCTCCTCCTCCAGGTCGTCCTCCTCCCCTCCTCCTCCTCCTCCTCCTCCTCTCCTCCCGCTCGTCCTACTCCTCCCCTTCCTCATCCTTCATCTCTCCTCCTCGTCCTCCATCTCTCCTCCTCGTCCTCTGTTCTCGTCGTCGTCGTCCTCCTCCTCCTCCTCCTCCTCCTCCTCTTCTCCCACAGGTGTCGAATATGTCGAGTTTTTTTTTTTTTTTACCTTTTCTCGATTTGTGTGTATCATCCTTGCGTAGAGGTCGTGCTAATCTTCTCTGTATCGTTCCCATCCCTCCGTTTCGTCTCCTCCTCCAGGTCGTCCTCCTCCCCTCCTCCTCCTCCTCCTCCTCCTCCTCCTCCTCTCCTCCCGCTCGTCCTACTCCTCCCCTTCCTCGTCCTCCATCTCTCCTCCTCGTCCTCCGTTCTCGTCATCGTCCTCCTCCTCCTCCTCCTCCTCTTCTCCCACAGGTGTCGAATTTGTCGAGTTTTCTTTTTTTTTATACCTTTTCTCGATTTGTGCGTATCATCCTTGCACAGAGGTCGTGCTAATCTTCTCTGTATCGTTCCCAAAGATTGAGGACGACACAGAGAAGATTAGCACGACCTCTGCGCAAGGATGACATGCACAAATCGAGAAAAGGTTGAAAAAAAAGAAAAGCTCACGAAACGGAGGGGTGATTGGGATCGATACACAAAAGATTATAGCACGACCTTGCCGTCCACCTCCTCCTCCTACTATCCCACCTAGGTATTGAAATTTCGAAAACAATCCAATCTATCGAACTTTGGCACGCACGGGGTGCATGATACAAGTTGATGGGTGGTCTGACCGGCGGGGAAGACCACACATCAACGTTATGGTGTCCTCCCCCATAGGCACAGTGTTCTGGAAATCGCTGTGTGTCGAAGGGAAGGACAAGGATGCGCAGGCGTACTTCCATATAGTCGAGGGGGCGATTGAGGAGAATGGGCCAAAGAGCGTGGTGGGTGTGGTCATGGACAACACCAGAGTTTGTGTGAAGGCTGGGAAGACGGTGCAACAAAAGTATCCGTGGATCTTCCGGGTTGGTTGTATAGCACATGCCCTCGACCTTGCCTTGGAGGACATGAACAAGTCATTAGAGTGGTTCAGAACGACGGTGAAGAGGGGGAATCAATTGGGGAAGTTTATCATGAACCACGACAAGGTGCGGGCTTTATTCCTCAGCAAATCCGGCGGTGCACAGATCAAGAGGCCGGGTGTGACTCGATTTGCCACAAACATCATCATGCTGAAGTCGTTGTCGGATGCGAGCAATGCCCTCAAGCTGGCAGTGGGCGATAAGGGGTGGGTGTCCGGCTTTGTGCGGCCCGACCTTGCCACGCAGTTCGAGGAGGCGACAGCAACAGTGTTGGACGGTACATTTTGGGATGATGTCGACAAGGCGTTGCTGACAACAGATTCAATCGTGGAGCTTCTGAGGCTCGTAGATGGTCCCGGTGGAACGCTACCTAAGGTCTACCATCGGATGGACACCGTTGTGGAGTCCATCTGTAAATTGGACGTGCTAACAGCCATGAGAAGGGGGAGGTGGAGGTGATCCTTATGGATCGCTGGGCATTCATGACATCAGAGCTGCATTGTGCAGCTGCCTTCTTGGACCCAGAGTATAGAGCTTACGGCTACTTCAAGGACACCGAGATCCGGGCTGGATTCAACATCTGGTTGTACACGTGGTGCAAGCCTGAGCAATTCGATGATATCAGCTGGCAGGTGGACGAGTGGGTGCCCTTCAAGGGGTCTTTCCAGTCAGAGGAATCGATGCGCACGGCAAGGATAAAGACGCCTGCGATGTGGTGGGATGCATTTGGGTCGCGACTGTACCTTTTGCAGCCTCAAGCCATCAGACTGCTCGGCCAGGCAAGCTCATTTGCTGCATGCGAACGCAACTGGAGCTTACATGAGCTCATTTTCGGGAGGAGGACGCGGATTTTGCCAACCCGCCTGTCGAAGTTGGTTTATAACAACTGGAACCTCCAGCTGCAGTGGAGGCAAGAACACGGTCAGGGCGAGGTTGATGTTCACATCCCTTGGTTGGAGGACATGCCTGATGAGGAGAGGAAGCACGAGGCGGAGGCGTGTTACAATGAGTGGGTGCGGCGTGTCAAGAGGCGTGCGAAGGATGGGGGGAGTGACTTGGAGGAAGGAGATGGGGGGGGAGCGGGGGAGGATGATGATGACGAAGTCCCGATGGCACGGAGGTGGCTGCACAATGACGACATGGACGACTACATGGACCAGCAGGACGGCATCAGGCAGCTCGACAATTACACACACCATTGGCACTTCAACACAATGTCGGGGAGGCACCGAGAACGTCTCTTGAGGAGGCTGTCAGGCCAAGAGCGGCCAGCACCGGAAGTCCACTACTGGAGCGGGACCGTGCGCTGCGGGCCAGGGAGACGGGGGCATGGGTGGATGGCAAGGAAGAAGGTGGAAGCAGGAGGCAGCGTCGGCGAGCACGTCCTGGCGAGGGGGACGGTGGAGGGAAGCGTACCGCGGAGGTAGACATTGCGCCTGCTCCGAAACGGGGGAGAGGACGACCGAGCAACAAGGAGAAGGCAGAAAGAAAAGCAGCAGAGAACGCTGCGAAGAAGGCGTCCGCATCTGCAAAGAAAAAGAGTTCTGCTGCAAAGAAAAAAGCAGCAGCAGCGAAGAAAAAGAAGGGGAAAGTCATTGACGATGACAACACCCCTCCGTGTTCGGCTTCATCGTCGTCATCCTCTGATGATGATGACGGTGATGATGGTGCCGATGGTGATGATGATCGTGATGGTGATGATGATGGTGATGGTGATGATGATGGTGATGACGGGTAACAGGACAGAGGTTCTGAATCTTCTGATGATGAGGACGAGGGGGGCGAACAAGAGGAAGAGAGTGGGGAGGAAGGGGCTGCGGAGGGACAGGGCGGAGGTTCTGAATCTTCTGATGATGGAGAGGCTGAGAATTAGTATCTGGCCCACTGCGAACTCGGAGGTTCACTGTTTTGCTGACTATAAGTGATATAAATGACTTAGCAACATTGCAATGGGGAAGCTCTTTCGGATGTTGTCTTGTCCCAGGCTGTTTGTGGTTTCTTTGTGATGTGTCCGACAACTTTGACTTTCTGACACTGTGTCCCTCTGCAGTTGTCTGTTTTCATGATGTGGCACTCAGATGCAGTGTTTCTGCATCTACAAACATGAACAGGTGTGTACCGACCGAACAACCCCACCCGCTGCATGAAATTTGATATTCTTGCAATGTCGTAGTTGGCAGTCGGAGTTCAAACTCCAAACTTCAAAGTTGAAGCTTGAAACTCAGTTCAAATTTCACTATTTGTTGTTCTCCATCATATCAGCACACGTAACACCTCTCGGACCCCTCAGACCCCCCTTTCAAAAAAAATAAAAAAATAAAAATAAAATAAAATAAATTCCACACGGCCACCCCCCGTACGGATCTCCACACAGATCCGGTCTGTGCGGGTGCGGAATGTGTGGAGATCGAGCAACCCCCATACGGATCTCCGCACGGATCCGGTCTGTGCGGGTGCGGCTCGTGCGGTTGCAAGTACGGTAGAAACGTTTCAAGTTGGATGAATTTGAGCGCTCCTGTAGTGACCCGTACGTTTCCCAAAATTGCATAACCGTTAACGGGCACGACTTTAGGAAGTACTGGTGGTTTAACATTGAGATTCGGCAATTTGTGGAGGTACACTATGGTGCAGTAATCGAGACTGGTGAAGGAGGGGGCAAAGAGACCACCACTGAAGCGAAATTCCACCATAGGCAAAATCAATCACCCTTTGGAGATGCTCATATACCATATGAAATAATAAATTACAGACCTTTCCATAAAACGTGCACAGACAGAGCCCACCTCTCTCAAAGGATGCCAAAACAAACGTGCACAGACCAAGGCCAATGTCCACCCAAACATGGACAAAGCAGCAGCACGCTCACCCATTCACCTGTGTGGTTTGAACTTGACTGTCCTTCTATTCTCTGAAGTGACACGGTTTTCACCCGAAACGGTGACAGACGAAGAACTCAGGGCTCGATCCCTAGACCTCAACCTTACCCATGTACAGTACCTGTTGACCCGTGTGTTTGTACCCGCGACCTGTTCTCTTAAAGTCGTATGTTCGGCTGTTGTATATAGCACGGTTGCAAGGGTTTGACCCATAGAGTGGTCATAGGTCGTAGCCGCTACAGTTCTGAAGGGTCAATACTAGAACCTCCTAGAAGCTGCAGGACTGACTCTTCGTAGGTCATAGTCAGTCAGCGGCTAGCACAGTCAGCAAAGGGCAGTCCCAGTCCTACCTAGCCTACTCAGCGGTACTCAATCCCGGTCACACTTTGTCCAGTCAACAAATACCATGCGCGACTGTGGAGGGCAGACCAACAACGCTCCGAAGTATAAATAAAGAGGCAGTGTCAAGTCATTCATTCATTTTGCCTGTGAGCCGTGCGGAAGCGCTGTCAGAGCGTCTTGTGCTACGGAGGTCTGCAGGTGCCCGAAGAAGAAGAGGGCTAAGAGGACAGAAACTCGGCCATAGCTGCGAGCTAGCTCAGGAGAGAGACGACAGCCATAGCTGCCACGTAGAATACGGTAGGAAGTGTGTGTGTGTAGAGTGCTTGTGTATGCGGGACATCCAGGGTGATCCAAGTGTGCGTATGCATGTGCGAATAAGTTGCCGGTGGATACAATTGATCGGGTGGGAATATTTGTCTGGCACCATGCACCATAGCCATCAAAGACAAGTTTGAATCTGGGCTGTGTTCCTGGCCACATTTTATCTCTGAGCCTTTGTGTGCGCTTCGCGCCAACTCTGATCGTCATTCTATTTACATGCACGTTGAAGCAGGGTTGAAGACAAGTCTGATTGCACTGGTATCGAAGCTGGTTCCCGCTGTCCCACAGTTGCCGCGATCGCCGCCGTCGTTGTCATCATCGCCACCTTGTGAAGAAAGAAAGGGAGGCGCCTAGGCGCCACATCAGCATTTGTGTGCCCGCTTGCTGGGCGCCTCTACCCGCACAATCAAAAGAGCACGTCGTTGCACACTGCGCCATGTACGCGTGCGCGTCGTCTTTGCACACGCCCACTGCCCTCAACACACACCGCCGTTCAATTGCTAGTGCCCGATAGAGATAGTGCGCCCACCATCGCTACGCGCCGTTGCCTTCCCACGTGAGCGCCCACCATCGCTACGTGCCGCCACCTTGCCTGTGCGCTGCTGCTGATCACACGCTAAGTTGCCTTTGCGCCCATGCGCCCCTACATATCGCTGCCGCTGTTCTCGCCGCGCTGAAGGAGAAGGCCGCCACAACGAAGGAGGCCCCCATGCGAAAGAAGACCGCAAAGAAGAAGTTTGTTGAGCGCGGAGAAGAAGACGCCGACAAAGGAGAGAGAGAGAGAGAGAGAGAGAGAGAGAGAGAGAGAGAGAGAGAGAGAATATTGGACGCGCGAAGTGGCGGCAATAGCCGACGAGCTCGAAAGTGAAGAAGACAAAGATAGAAGTGACAAGGAAAGACGAGAGAAAGGCAAACGGAGGGAGAGACAAAGGAGAAAGAGAGGAAGCCATAGCCAAGGTCAAGTGGGGAGGAAGACAAAAGGAAGGAGGAGGAGGTTGACAAAGGAGAAGAGTCGGCGGCCATAGCCAGGAGATCAAAGACCGAAACGAAGTTGACCGGCACCAAGTGAGTTTGACCAAGGTGTTGATCAACGTTAACCAGCGGTGACCGACATTGAACAAGACCTTTGATCGGAGGCGTTGACCAAGACTTTTGACCAAGCTGGTGTATGGTATAATCTCTCAAGCCTTGGCCTACCCCTTACCCTGTGGATGTGCACGTAACCTTGGTACTTGCTGCGCGTCAATCTCTCTTCTTTCTACATTGAGTCACTTCTGTCCAGGTGATAGGACTTTGTGCATGTGGTCATAAAGCTATGGTGGCCAAGCCTGCACGAGACTTAGTAGGGCTAAAGGCCACGTCTAACGACTGACACGTCCCGGGGACAAGACCCCCAAGGACCGGTACAGACCGGCGGGCTGCTCAGTGTGGCATGGTAGGCCTAAACTCCGAGTTGTAGGCTGCACATCCAGCTGTGTATATGTTGAAAGGACTCTGCTGATCACGTCGTGCGACACTAAAGAATTCATGAGTTATGGGGGATCTCCTAAAGTGCCTCCTGATCAGCAGTAGTGTCTTGTAGTGACAGCCTTAGAGTAGACTAGGCTAGTGACCCTAGTTGACAAAGATCTGATCCAGGGTGAAAGCCAGGTGGGATTGATCCTATGTGCAAGGAGCACTCGGATCCTGGAAAGTTTCGGTGATAGTGGCGGCGAAAGCTTTCGTCGACTATTACTTGGCTGGAACAAAGGAGAAGATTTTGTGGTCCTTAGAGAGTCAGTCAATCAACCAATTATTGGAAAGTGGTGAGGAGTGGAACTGCCACGGGGTTGCGCACCTGACACCATGAATGACTATCCGATGTATTCCTTGCTCGTGGGGTTCTCCTTGTGGGGGACCCTCTGCCAGTTTTTTTTCCCTTTAGGATTTTGGCGCACCCTTACCTGCAGAGTCACAACGAAGGGGTGATACAAGAACCTCCCCTTACACGAGGGAGCAGGAGGAGGAAGGTGCAAGAATCTTGTCAGAGTTGAAGGTGAGGAAGGAGAAGAAAGAGTTGGAGAAGGCGGCCAAGAAGGTGGCCTTATTGGCAAAGAAGGCCAAGAAAGAGAGAGTTAGAAGAAGGGTTGAAACGGCTGCAAAAGGAGAAAGAGGAAGCAGTGGCAACCATAGAAGAAGAAGGAGAAGAAGAAGAAGAAGAAAAGGTAGAGGTTCCCCCGCAGAGAACGGCAAGAACTGAAGAGAGAGGGGAATATAGTAGTGCCCAAGACAAAGACGCGGGTGGCTAATCTAGCCCGGAAGGAGGATGAAGAAGCTACGTTGCTTGTCCATCAGGCAGAAAAAGAAGCGGTGGAACAAGAATTGGAAAGGGAGGAGGGGCCAAGGAAGATGAAAAGAAGTTGGAGTGGAAGTTGCACCTCACGGGGGAGAGAACGAGGCGATTTAAGGCGACAAAGAGGATGGAGAGAGAGTTGAAGGTTGTTAAAGAGCAGCAAGGGCAATTGGGAGTGTAGGTTGACCTCAACAAAAAATGTAGAGCTCATCTCCCCAAGTATGGATGCTATGTTGAGGGCCCAGCAAGAACACTTGTGTCACCTTAGGGGCCATGACAACGCGCTACAGTCCATGCGTGTAGGCTTCAAGGATTTTGCACGGGATATGATGCTTCATGTCGCAAGCGAAATGCGTGTCGCCATGGAAGGCACAAAAAAGTTCTACACAGGTGCCATAAAACGCACAAAGATAGTGGCTCCCAAGGAAGAGGAGGCACGGCCACATCGTGAGCGAGTGAAGGTCAGTTTCCCTGAACCTTATGGTGGAAGAAGGGAGAGGACTTTCATAATTGGGAAGCCAATATCAAGTCTTATTTACACCTACAAGATATCACGCCAGAGAATCATGTTCTTGTAGCCTTCCACACCCTGAAGGAAGAACCAGCCAGTTTTGCTACGTCGCTTGCACGTGATGCTAAGTGCGACAACGACACGGTCACATACTCTATCACTAACCCGAGTCTCCGCGAACGTTTTGCAGACGTCACTAGGGGCATTAGGGCATCTGACAAAAACGATCCTCACGCGACAGTGGAGGAGTGCACAAGCACTCGAAACTGCTATGGATGAGCTTGTCATTGTCCCTGGATAATGGGGTCACTGAGACCCAACTTGTCCAATTGTTCTACCGTGCCATGCCTGAAATTTTGCACGGGCACTTCTTCACCAGAAAGCAACAGCCTGATATGACACACAACACGCTAAGTCACGAGGTTGTGGCCTTTGAGGCCCAGTCCGCACCAATAACCACTTTTTGGCACAAAGACCTTGCCAAGGGCAAAAAGTGAAAGGGTCAGACCATCACGAGCCAAGTCAAGGCCAATGATAGTCTTATCCTTTAGAAGAGGGTGGTCTGGAAAAGTTCCCTTACAGTAGTGTAGGTCAAGGGAGTACCTATGTTGTTGTCACAGCCGGAGGGAGGTCGCAAGGACGTGGAAGAGGTCAAGGCCGAGGTGGCCAAGCCTCTGGCGGCCAAGGGGTTGGCAGTAGAGGAAACCGCCAAGCGGGAGGCAGGGGTCAACATCCCCCGTCTAACCGTCCTCGTTCTGATCGATCACCTCCCAGAGGGGGTGGTTAGCATCCTCGTCGGCCTGAGGGCCGACACTAGGAAACGTTTGGTATTGAGCAAACCAATTAGCAAAAAAGGATAGACGAGTTTCAATGCATTTTCTACGATGACCCTGGGCACATCATCAAATTTTGCCCAAAGCACAAAAGGTGCCCAGCGAGCTGTTGTCGAGGCAGCAAAAGGCAC